TGATTTCATGGGAAAAGGCTTAGAGAGGATTCCTATACTTCTTAAGAGATGGCACAAGGCACTTTTCCCACAGAAGCATTGTTATAAATGGTCATGGTGAGGAGATTAGTTTAAAAAACAAAATATGTAAGATCTGATTGGAAAAGAAAAAGGAATATAATAAAGGGCAATGGAAGTTAAGAGGAACTCTCCCCCTGTTTGCTAAGGGGTAGAGAGGCAAAAGCATTTTCCCTTTGGACTCAACAATGTATAAGCGACCAGGTTTAATTTTGAATTCTGCAGAAATTACAAAATTGATTCAAACAAAGTGCTTTGGAGTCATGGAGGACAGGCAAATGATAATGCCTCAGCAGTCAGGCCATGAATAAAGACACAACATGGAGCAACCTGTCTTGTTCTAAGTTTTATGGACATTTTTCCTTTTTCTTCCTTTCTTCTCATCTGAGATATACATATATATCTGTTTTTCTGAAAGCAGCAACGACTGGCATTTTCCAACAAAATATTTTACTAGTAATGCCAAAAAGCACACTTAGGAATCCTCAAATAATGCTTTCTAGTAATTATTCTTTAAACTGAAGACCAAAAATCTGTCACCTTCACAGTTCATCTCTGGTTAACATTGAGAAATGTTAGTATTGCTCAGGGTCACAACCCTGGGCTTCCCCATCGTTTGTGCTCACCCTGGAAATGTCATCCACTGTGACAAAAAAAAGAAAGCAGCATTTGAGCTGACAAAGAAGATGTCCTAGTTCTCTACCAGCCTCTAACTTTCACTTTCTAAGTCAAGCGAAAGAGATTCCAGGCCAAGGGGCCAGCAGGTACAAAGGCAGAGAGGGATAGAAATGTGGAATATTCAGAAAATGATCATCGTTTCTTGCCTTAACCTTTATAACTCGTAGTAGATTGAGCAAATACATCATTTTTTTTCAACCTTGAATCTCAAGGCTAAAGTTAGATGACTTAAGAATTTTTTAAAGGTCCAATTATTTCATTTAGGGCTAACACTACAGCTAAATTAAAGACATGCTAACAAGTTTCCCTTTTGAGCCTCATTAATTAAGAAAGTAATCAGAGTAAAGAGGGGAAAAAAAAAAGAAAGAGTAACTGGGTGGCAGCATTACTTAAATAGCTTTTAGGTACCACCATTTGTACCTACTAGGAAAGCAAAGGCAAAACTAATCAATTCCAGATTATGAAATCTGAAATTCTGAAGTGTTTTACATGTAAATACACATTTTAACTGACACATATTTTCCTTGATTGCCAGAAGAGTGCACTAATCTTATTCAAAGAAAATTTTGATTCTCCATAATCAAAAGGTAAAATTAAGATCTGCTTCCTTTACAAGTTTACCTAGGTTGACCTTGGTAAGAAAATTCTGTTTTCAAAGATCAAAGTATACCATTTTTAATATTTTAGTCAGGATAAACAGTACTCACCAATACATGCTAAAGATTTTAATTTACCAATTC